TTGATATAGTAATTCACCTCCCTGTGCCAATGATCCAAAATGTAAAAGTGGATAGTAAGAAAATATTTTTTGAAAGAGTCAAGTAGTAGATAAATAGTTGGGTTTTTTTCTAGCATAAACACTTTATACATTATTTAAGACTGGAATAATATTTTGCTTGAGAGTATTTGGTTGTGCAGTTTGCCAGTTTTGGCACCTCTTCCTCACTTTTTAGGGGAGAGGCGCTTTTTAAACATATTTTACTACTTGAATTGGGAAAATGTAACAAGTCTTATGTCTTTACTGAAAATCTAGTGGTTATCTTTTACAGAATCAGAAATAACATTTCCAGTATTAGTAGAGCTGCCTCTGAACAGTTAATGTTTTGTCTTATGTAGCATTGTGTAGAATTAATTGTAATTTTGGTCAGTCAACCTCTAGTTTATTTACATAAACCTTATGGTTAAAATTTCTCAAGTACTGATTTTTTTTCTATTAACTGTCTCCTAACCTTGCCAGCTTTTGATAGCATAGGATTACTTTTATGTCTCTAATTGTGAATGAAAAAAAATGTCTAAAGCAACAGAACACCATTTTGAGTTTACCTTATTTCCTGTTTCTGATTCTTTCACACTGAAATACTTCATTCAAAACTAAAATAAAATTTGAGAGTTATCGTTTTGTTGTTTGCCTTTTTTTTTGTTGTTTTGCTAGACCTTAGGCATGTCAGACATTCCCTAGTTGACAACTCTTAAGTGAAACTTTGTCTTTAGCTCTAATTCATGTAGGGTTGCTTAATTCACAAGAATCTTTTGGATGACTTACAAAATTGAGCCTTTGTAATACTTCAAATAATAATCACATGTATTTATACAAATAACTATTTATCAATAGTTATTCATACATTTAAGTGGTAATAGTTTTGCTGTTTGTGTAGCATTTATGTAGTGTTAACTGTGTGCCAGACACAATTCTAAATGCCCTGTATAAGTCTCTTTAGGTAAGGATTAAATGAATAAGGTACTATGTACTAATTATTCTGTATCTAACAGAAGAGGAAACAAACACAGAGAAATAAGTGACTTTCCCAAATAACACAGCTGGAATTAGACCCAAGATGTATCACTTCAATGTCTGTGCTCTTTATCAGTGTACTATAATAAATTTATACTTTGGCATACTTTTGAATATGTTTGGAACACAAAGGTGTTCTGTTCCCAGTAAAAAAATTTCCATGCCCTTTGCTTCTAAAGTATTTTAAAAGCAAATTGAGGGGTTTCTATTCATTTAAAACAGTGGTCTTTTCAAGAAAAAGGCAAAACAATGATATTTTGAGATTTTATATTTGTTTTTCAAGCAGATACAGGTAGGATACTTTGTCTATAGGAATTTCTTCTCTGCCAAAGAAAACTCAAGAGAACAGGTGTTGAGAGTGTGGCAGGAGTGAGCCCTTCTGGATGTCCTGAGCGCGCTAAAACAGTAGATGCATTCACATGAATAACTGACGTGACACTGCCGTAATCTCTCTTCGTAGAACAGTGCTATGTTAGGAGCATGGTCCTGGTAGTTTTGTGAGAGTAACAGGGGTGAGTTAGACCCTTCCCCCAGTAGTCTGGAGAAAGGAAAATCAAATTGCCCTCAGAGTAAACCAAAACAGTTTGTTGTGACTGGAGAGTGTGGAGCAGAATATGGAGAAATTGTTTAAGGTGGGTAGATACAGTGCTAGACAGAGGTGGAGCCAATGGTAACCAAGTAGGCAGTGATACAAGTAACGCTATCCTGCTGTGTGTGCAAACACAAGTTAAACAGTAGATGATCAGCATCAGTCAAGAATAGTAATAATAAGAATCTCAAAGAAGCAGACATGGGCAAAGCTCATTCAAGCACAGTCTAGAAAGAAAGTCTCTGGCCCAGAAGGTTAGTTTCTTTGGCAAGGCTGGTGTCCAGGTGAGAGAACCTTTTCAGATCTGCTTGTGTCTCTGTACCACACCATCTTCTGGTAGTCCCTTTTCCAAATAGCTTACCCACAGATACAAAAATGTGTGTTAGTCAAAGTAAGGAATAAAAACAGAGTGGTAAAGGGTGGTGATTATTGAAGCAACTGATAAGTATCTGGAAGTAGTGGTGAGGATGTTTTGGTTTTGTTTTTGTTTTTGTTTTTGTTTTTGAGGTATTGTGAGTTAAACTGAGGGCCTTCATGCTGAGCTAACCCCTCATGCTTTTAAATTTTTCTATTTTGAGAGCTGGGCATGGTGGTGCCCAGCCCTTGGGAGCCTGATGCCCTTGGGAGCCTGATGCAGAGCAACACTGAGTTTGAGGCAGTCTGTGCTACATAGTGAATTCAAGGCCAATCTGAACTCCACAGCAAGACCTTGACTCAAAAAACAAACTAACAAATAAATAAAGAAACAAACTAACAAACAATTTTTTTATTTTGAGACAAGGCCTTGCTAAGTTGCCCAGGCTGCACTTGAACTTCCAGTCTTGCTGCCTCAGCCTCCCAGTGTGTTGGGATTAGAGGTGTGCACCACCACGCCCCGTTTATCATTCTTCTCTTTACTTTTGTAAATGAATTTTCCATAATAAATTATCTTAGTTGCCAAATAATGCAAAAACCTATGATGTTTGGCTGTCGTATTTCTTTTTATAAATTTAGTTATTGGCTTGGTTTCAGTATATTGAGCTCCTTAGTCATGGTAGTTCAAGTTCACTTTTAGATGTACTGATAAAAGTAGGGGTCTGAATTTACAAGGCTGCAGACCATGTGCTGGAATGTAGAAGACTAACCAAAGTAATGTTCTCGTCAGAGGTTTGGTCATCAGCCTCTAGGACTTAGTGATACGTCTTTTTTCTTTTTTGGTCTTTTTCCGGTACCGGGAATTGAACTCACGACCTTGTGCTTGCCAGGCAGGCGCTGTGCCACTGAGCTAAATCCCCAGCCCCAGGACTGAGTGATACTTCTGAATTGTGTTCACTAACACGATTGTTTGAAGTTATTTCTTTGGCCATATCTTTAAATTGTATTTCTCAAATCAGAGAGTAGGAATTCTGAAAGTTGATCTTCCAAGATAAGAATTCTTCTTTTTAAGGGTAGTGACACAGTTTTCCCTCTATGGCCATTTCTGTTTTTAAATTTTGCTGTATTAATTCTCTAGTTCTCTTTTGTATTTTTATCACAGCTCTCTTAAAGCTAATAAGTATTGCATTAAACCTCTTTTCTTTTTTTTAATCTAGAAGTAATTTATTTTACATTATATTTAATAACTACACAGTAATTCCTAGAATAGGGCACAAATCGGTTTCTTTTTGGTGACAATTTTGTGACAAAATAGAGCACAATGAGACAAGTCTCCTGTGTGATGCTCAGAGCAGTCACACAAACGTAATTTTCACCTCATCAAAAGCCGAGCCTCAGAGGTACCTCCACATGATGCCTGTCAGTTGTTGCTTCATTTGTAGCTGATCTCTGCAGGACGTAGGGTCCTCACTGACCTACTGGCTGGAACCTGAAAAGTTCTCCCCGCCGAACCATGGTAACTGCTCTCCAGTTAGGTGTCTTAATCAGAAGAACCTCAGGATTGATGGACTTGGCAGTTGAACCTATCAGGCAGTTCCCAGGTCCTTAGCCTCTTAGAGGAGTCCATAGCTGATAAATACAAACATTAAATATTAAAACTACTGACATTCCTTTATAAAAAGCATTCTAACTAATAATTGAAGGAAGAATGTTAGACTTATAAAATTATGATTGTGATGATTCATCTAGACAGTGATCATCAATGGCTGCTAAGTTCACAAAAAGGAAAACAATCATACGTTAGTGCCTCTAGGTAGAACTACACAACACTATTGATGAAGTTTTCTTGCCAGAACAGCAAATCGGAGTCAGCCAAGCTTCTCGATCTATCAACATACAGGAAGTACAATACACAGCAAATGGAGAGCTGACAGAAGACTCTAACACATCATATCAGGGAAATATTTTTAATGCAGTCCCAAATGTGGACAATACTATAGAACAAATTACCTGATTTCATAGGAGTGTGAAAAGACTATAAATTAAGAGATATAAGAACACTATCAACCAAATTATAATCTGTGGACTTTATTTGGATTTCAACAAATCCTAGACAACCATTTATAATAAGCTCAGAAGAATTTGGATACTAACAATTAATAATTATTTTAAAGTAGTATCTGGAAATTATTTTAAAATAGTGTCTGGCAAGTGTGAGGTTGTGAGTTCGATTCCTGGGACCAAAAAATAAAAAATAAAAAAACTTTAAAAAAATATGACAGTGAAATGGGAGCTTGTTGAACAATTAGTCTTTTTTTTTCACAATTAGTCTTGATAATTATTGAACTTACATAATGGATACATGAGGATTCAGTATAGGACTCTTTGCATCAGTAGTGTTTTATAAAGTAAGTTGAAATTTTTACTTACAGAATTTACTTGAGAGCTGGGTTGCAGGGCCGGAAGTGGAGCTCAGTGGTGGGGCATATGCTTTGTGTGCAGTACACCATGGGTTAAATCCCCAGCACCAAAACACAAAAAGCAAAGTCACTTATGTCATCTAGGATGTCTTATGTTTCAACTAGATGCTTTTGTAAATTTCACTGGGTAAAATAAATTTTACCATTTTGTCTCTAAATCTACATGCTAATAAAACTCTTATTTAAATCCTTGAGATCTTAATTTTTGTATTATATTTTTTTATTTCTTAAAGTCTTTTTATAGCTTTTTAGTCTAGTATATAACCAGTAGTGAGCCTGCTGCTTATGAATGTCCTAACTTTAAATATTGGAGTGACTTGTTGATTTTTGTCCTTGGTTGCTTAGGTGGTTTATTCATTCATTCATTTATCCTGTATGCTAGAGATTGAACCCAGGGCTTCGTGTATGCTAAGTGTACTCTCTACCTCTGAGCTACTTCTCCAGCCCCCAGTTTATTTTTTTAATAGTGTAGGGTTTTTTTTTTTTTACTTACACTGTCTTAGATGCATTGTATTCTACTTCAGGTACTTGCTACAGCCGAGGGACAATGGGAACAAGTCATCTAAAATGGATGATCTGGGATCTCTTCGATTAAATATATGTTACTCAGAAGATTATGTGCTTCCTTCAGAGTACTATGGTCCTTTGAAAACTTTGCTGCTAAAATCACCGGATGTTCAGGTACCTTTAAGAATCTTAATTTATTTAATATGGGCATTAATACTTAATATTCATTAAATTAAGTAAATTTAATATGAAAAGGGTAAATTAATTGAAGAAACAATTTGAGATTGTCAATTCTAGTTAAGATGGTGTATATGTATATTTAATGTGTCTGATCCAGAGTACTGATTATAGTGAATACTCAATTACATCTCTGATAAGAATTTTAAAAATTAAATATTACGGTATGTCTTAGTAATTTCTCTTGTTGCTGAGACAAAATATCCAACAACTAAAGTTAAAGGAGGGAAGGTTTATTCTGGCTCACAGTTTGTAGAGGTTTCAGTCCATAGCTGGCTGGCTCTGAGGCAGGGTGGCCTGGCAGAGGGGCATCCAGAGGACAAACAGCTCATGGCAGGCAGAAGGCAGCAAATCACTGAAGTAGCAAAGCAGCAGCAGCAAGCAACAGCAGCAGCCCTCTTTCTGTCCCTTATATCCATCAAAGCTACCTGCCCTTAGGGTGGGTAGCACTCACACCCAGGGTGGGTCTTCCCATTATGAACACTCAGAACTATGCCAAACCAATCAGTGGACTGATACAGTAATCACACATCCTTGATCCCAGCATCGCACACTATAGATCCAGCCAGCTCTGAAAAGCCCTATGATTGCATAAGACTTTGAAGGAACATCTAGATACAAGCCATAACACTGTGTATTACAATTATATTTAATGAACATATTTGAATTACTTCTACAGGTTAGTTATTCAACATTTAATCATGTTTCCTTGATTTTCGTGCTTGTTTTTTACCTTTCTAGCCAATATCTGCCTCAGCTGCTTACATTTTGGGCGAAATATGTCGAGATAAAAATGATGCTGTTTTGCCCCTTGTACGACTGCTGCTGCACCATGATAAACTTGTTCCTTTCGTCGCTGCAGTGGCTGAATTAGACTTGAAGGATACCCAGTAAGAAATGTATTTTGTTAAATGTTATTAATTATGTGTCAAAATTAGGCCTTTGTTTGCCAGATTGTTCTGTAGCCTAAGTTCTTTTAAAATGACTAGCATAACTGAAAAGAACTGCCTACCAGGTAATAAAAGGCAGTCATCAAACAGTATCCATTTATAGCACGGATAACAGTTAGTGACAGATTTTTTTTTAACTCAATGATGAAATTTCTTGTTGTGTGACACAGATGTGTACCATTATACAATGCAATCAAGTGGCCTCCCATTCCCATTATAGTCTGGTAACACTTACTTTGTGCCTGCACACATGTGTGCAGACACACATGCACAAAAGAGTTTTTGGTCCAAAGCAAGACTCTACTTAAAACAAAATTTAAAACTGTATGGCCTGTATATGTTAATCTTGGTTAAAGATAAAGCTTCATAATACTGTTTTTATTTAACACATTAGCCAGCTGTAAAACATAGGCCTTTATCAATAGCAGATAAAGAATTCCAAGATAGGCTATAAAGTCAGAATTTGAAAAATAGTGTTTCATTATGAAAGAGCTTTCCAGTTGCTTGTAAAGCTGACCTAATTAAAAAGACATATAAATGTTCTTGGAAAAAAGTTGTTTTGGTTCATGAACACAATTTCTTTTTTGTTTCTTTGTTTGCTTAACTGATTTTTTTCACATATTTTTGGAAAATAATTTTAAGTTTGAAAAACCTAATGGCAACAACATTTTTGAAGCAGATTATAAAAATTACAGGACCCATGTCAAATGTGTCATACTATTGTCTTCAGAGCCTTTGTATTTTACTACACTAGTTTTCATCTATTTGTATTTCTGTTTCAGAGATGCAAACACAATCTTCAGAGGAAATTCCCTGGCTACCCGATGTCTGGACGAGATGATGAAAATAGTGGGAGGGCACTACCTGAAAGTAACATTAAAATCTATTCTAGATGAGGTACAGAATACGCACCCAGTCCTGACAGTGTACGGCCTTGTGGTAGCCCCTCTTTCACCAACTAATCTCTGATACTATCCATTCACATGTTAGGGAAGGAGTAAGGCGAATAGTATCCAGTAGTACTTCAGTAGTATGTACTATCCTGTCAATGGATTTTTACCCAAAAGCCACATTATGTAATCTACATATGTTTCTTAAGAGTTTTAAGTATATGAGAAGTACTTTTGTTATACTTCTTTAGGACAGTTGAATATGTTATCTTTGAATGGGAGTTTGAAACTGTCTTAGTTACTTTTCTCATTGCTGAGACAAAATACAAAGTTAAAGGACAGAAGGTTTATTGAGCTCACAGATTACAGTTTTCAGTCCCTAGTTGGATGGCTCCAAGGCAGGGTGGCGTGGCAGACAGGCATCAAAGAGGAGAAACAGCTCATGGCAGGCAGAAAGTAGCAAACCAAGCAAATAACCAGTTACAAGTAACCAGCAATGCGCCTCTTTCTGTCCCTTTTATCGTATCCTTACACCCGTAATCCTAGCACTGCATCGTGAATCAGTTACACACTCTAGATCCAGCCACCCCTGAAAAAGCCCCACCTATCACTTCATTAGGCTTTGAAAATATATCCAAACCAAGCCATAACAGTTAACGTCTCAGAAACATGGTACTTTCATTTTGTTGAATTATTTAGGAAAGAGCTTTAACTGAAAAATTCATTTATTTGCCAGATATGTGAATCCTCAAAATCTTGTGAAATTGATCCTATTAAATTGAAAGAAGGCGATAATGTAGAAAATAATAAGGTATGTGTTTTGTTATCTTTATAACTGCATTAACATTGGTCTTACTAGTGTTACAATCTCCATTTACATTGTATAATGCTATTTGGAGGGAAACAGTGCTGTTTATTCTTTGCACTGGTCTTCACTGTTCACAGTATTTCCTAGTACTTTTAGAATATTATTCCCCCAATAGTTTCATTTTGGTTTTGCTCTTAACTCTTTTTTGGCTGTAGTCAACAGTACAGGATTTATTTAGGCTGTGTCTTGTTGAGACCTCCATTCTGTTTTTTCAGGTCAAACTCATCATTACCCTTGGGAACTTAAAATTGTATTAGAGCCACAGATTTGCATTGCAGTGCATAATAGTGTTACAGTGTCGTGGTGCCAGCTTATCTAAATTATTTCCTTTCTTTCCCTTTTCATCCTTTTATTCTCTTGGATTTTATGAAGTTTATTCAGATATTTCCACCTTATGTCTAACATGATAAATTTAATTTATTAAATCAGGTGAGAATGTAAATTGTTAGAAAAGGGAAGCAAGGGTTTGTACTACTACATAGGGACTGTCTAATAAGTCTCACTTTCATTACTTTTTTTTAATAAAGGCTGTGTGAAAATCAAAATCTTAATGTTTACCTGTTGGACTCCTACAGGAGAATCTGCACTACTATGTGGACAAGTTATTCAATACAATTGTGAAGTCAAGTATGAGCTGCCCCACTGTCATGTGTGATATCTTTTATTCTTTAAGGCAGATGGCTACTCAGAGATTCCCAAGTAAGTGTCTTGTTTTACCGGCTGCCATTTCTTCTGCCATGTTTTCTGTAGGTATTGTGTGTTTGGTTTGTGTGAAATGTTGAATGGTATAATATTCTTTGGTTTTCAAAATGATTCTGGGGGCTGGGGATTTAGCTCAGCGGCAAAGCGCCTGCCTGGCAAGCGCAAGGTCGTGAGTTCAGTTCCTGGTACCGGAGAAAAACCAAAAAAAAAACCAAAAAAAAAAAAAAAAAAAAAAAAAAAAAAAAAAAAATGATTCTAAATTTTATATAGGACATCTGGTTTATTTTTCTTGTGATCTCAAAACATATAGTCCATTTTATTTCAATATAATGGTAAGTTTGCATACAAAGAAAAAATCAAAATCACCATTAGTTTTAACAAAGACAAAAATTTAGAACTATAATACTATGTAAGTAAACATTTAAATACTTACCAGGTTTTTCAGTATGGTAAACAAAAAAACTTCGTTACTTATACTAACTGGCCTTTCAAATTTCAAACATTCAAATAGTGATAATCTTTAAGTTTCATACAGTTGATTAGATTTGACACATTGAGAATCCTGAAACTTTGGTGGTCAGATGTTTTTACAGAAATGGTTTTCAACATGAGAAATACCTCAGTGACTTTAGAAACAACGCAGGTGAGCTGGGGACACTGGTGCGTGCCTAGCTACTCTAGAGGCTGAGGCAGGACAGTCATAAGTTTAAGGCCGACTTGGGCAACTTAGCAAAACTCTGTCTCAAAATAGCATTAAGAAGGTCAGGTAGGGGAGGAGAAACATCTCAGCCACAGCATACAGAGAATTTTGATGTACATGTTTCAGTAACTAGCATGTTTTAATTTTGCAGAAGACGCTAGGTTAAGATTTTACTTGGAAACATTTCATAAAATGATGACTTGTGATCTCTTTCTGTCAGTACTTGGAATTATTCTAATACATCATATACGTAAATAAACTTTGTATAGCTGTCTTTCCAGATCTACCTATAATGGCAGAGAGGGATAAGGCAGCTACTTAAATTGTCAGTCTTATGTGCATCTATATGAAACTCTTTACTTCCGTAGCCATTTGAAGAAATTTTGCTATTTTGTTTTTTGTGTGTGTGTACGCATTTACCTTCTGTTTAGTTTATTTACTACTAAAGTAGTGTGGTGTGGTTGTCTAACTTGTAGATAAATTCAGATCTAGTTAGCTTGGCTAATTATAATAAAGACAAGCATTTAAGTTCTAATAAGTACACTAAATCTAGTCCTTATAACAACAAGGGAGTAGAAACATTGATGTATGGAAATAAGACATGCTGGCTAAATCACATTTCTGTGTAGTTAGTCGGTGATCTCTACCCTGACTACTTTTTGAGTGGGCAGTGCTAGCCTACACTATCTGCTCTCCTCCTCGCAACATCTGCTGGAATTCATCACTGCTTCCCATTAGTTAGGGAACAAAGCTAAAGTCAAGAGGTTGAAAAACTTTACCAAGGCTCATAATAGGCCTTGGGCACAGCAGGCAAGCAGCGTCTCAGCCTGGGCCTGGCCTTCTCCAAAGCACAGCTGCTCATCACCGTGCTGTGTGGTACCCAGGGATCTTATCCTTAGATCTGCTCTAGCTGTGTAATTCTTATTTCTGTGAATAATCTAAAACATACCTTATAATATTTTTAATAAATGTAACTGTCTCAACTGTCTTATTGTCTTAACTATTGTGTCTCCATATCCACAGTAAGTAGACTTAAGTATTGATTATTACTGTAAAATATTTTCATTCTCCCTTGTTTTCAGTACCTTGTGAGTATGGGGTGGAGACAGCAGGTGGGAAGCAGATATTAAAAACAAGTTAAACAATTTGTTGGTTACCTGTTGAGTGATTATCAGAGTTAAAACTGAAACCAAGCCCAGAGACTGTCCCGCTCACCACCTGCTTCTCTACCGTCTGGTTGTTGGGTCAAGTGTTGACTCCAGTCTGATAGAAATGGTGGAAGGGGAGTGACCAGTGCCACAAGTAGTCTTCAATTCATCTGCATTTTTGCATGAATTTTTGATTAGCTTTTTAAAAGTAAAGCTATCTCCTAGCCCGGGCATGGTGGCACGTCCTGTAATCCTAAGACTTGGGAGCTGAGGCAGGAGGGTTACTGCAAGTTCAGCAAAGCTAAAGAGTGAGACCTTGACTCAGAACAAACAAAAAAGATGTCTTCTTAATTGTTTTTATTACATAGCCTTTGAGATCATCAAGATTTTTTAGAGGGAAATGGAAATAATAACCCAAAACTGAAAGCTGTCCTGTAGCCCAAGGATTCAGTGTTACCACTAGGTAGTGCTAGACACTAATTTTTGGTGAAATTTGAAGTCTCGTAGATAAGGAAAAAAGTATTTTTTTAAATTAAAATGTTTCTAAAAACCTAACAACTTTGCCTTTCATTTTCTTTATTTCTTTCAGATTTTTTAATCATAGATTTTTTTAATTTAATCATAATCATTATCATTTCATCAACTCAAGACTTATATTGCTCTCTTGCTTAGTTTACATTTTTTGATACTTTTTACTTTATCATCTTTGTTTTTCAATTCAGTGTTTTGTGCATGACATTTCACCGTTTTCTTCCTGCAGACGACCCTCATGTTCAGTACTCTGCAGTGAGCAGCTTTGTATTCCTTCGTTTCTTTGCTGTAGCCGTAGTATCACCTCATACTTTTCATTTGCGACCTCATCATCCAGTAAGTGTTCGTTCTTCTCAAAGCTTTATTCCATTTTATTTATTTTTAGTAAAACGAAGAAAGGATAAAATAAGCAAATTTCACTTGACTGTTTTCTTATAACTGACACTTAGATATATTTGGCATTTTTCTTGGCCCCCTTAGTCTTTTAGATAAGACTGAGAATGCCATTGCTGAGTAATTTCACAAGAGTGATAAAATGGTGATAATTGTTGAAGGTTGGTGATGAGCACAAAGGGGATCCGTTTTCTTCCCCTGCTGCATGTTTGTACTTTTCCGTAGGTCTGTGCCCCGCCCCGTTAGGCTTAGTTCTGATTGTGGTGGTGGTGGTTGGGTGGTTGTTAACAGGCCGGCCTCCCTGATTGATTAGAATCATCTAATCTTGAGGGTATTCTAGTGTCAGAGATGCAACGGGGCTCATTTCTGAAAATTGTAGGAATTTTTATTAGAATATAATTTGTTTCATATCTCTATTTTTTTACTGTTCATTCACCTAAGGTGATATGTTTAAGTTTTTTTAAAGCATGTAATCTTTTTGTTCTGAACTGATACTCATTTACCTAAATCTACTGCGCAGATTTACATGTTTGTTTCTTAATATTTTAAAAAATCTTTTTTTATTTTTGCTATATGTGTTTTCTTATACAATGTACTTTTACTGATTCTTTAAGCTTTTATATTCTAAATATTTTATAACCTTAACTGCTTTTAGTTGCTGACTTGTATAACAATTAATAACAAGCAACACTTATTTCGTGCTCACTTTATGCTAGGCTTTCTTCTAAGCACTTTAGTCCTTACAGTAACCGTAGGAATGAATTCTGTTATCACCCTCATGTACAAGAAAGAAAATCACTGTATAGTAACTTCTCAAGGTTCACACAACTAATAAATTATGGTTGGTTCTTACTCGATTTGAACTGGATTAAAGTGGGATTCTGAATCAGTCTGCACGTCTCCAGGTTTAACCTTGTTCCTTCCAAACGTTTAAGCAGACAGGCAGATGTTGAAGTGCCTGTGATATACCAAGAACTGTGTTCGGTCCTGGAATTGCAGTGATGAGTAGAATACTCCCTTCCTTAGGAAACTGACAGTCCAAAGGAGTTGCCCATGGAGTAAAACGGTATAAAGATGTGCAGGTTTTGAGTTAAAGGGGTTCTGAATGTGCACTCTTCCTCTGGGCACTCATTCAACTTCGTGAGAACTGAATAAAACCATCTTGCAGTGGCAGCAGTACACTCTTTCTTGCGAAAGGACAAATGTTTTGTGTAGCTACAACAGAGTCAGCTAGTGTCCTTTTGTTTGTAAGTCTGTCCTTTCGCTGTTACTAAAGCTGTACAGTAGACTGCACAGCTAACAAGTGAAAACCTATTAGCAAGATTTTGTATATAAGCAGAACTCCCACCTCTGAACTTTCGACTGTGCCTTATATTAGAGTTGGAGTTCCATATTCCTATAATAGACATTGCAATAATATCCCTCTTTCTAGTCACAATCTGTATTTTAGGTCATTATTTTCCAATCAGTATGCCAGAAGGACTGCTGTAAAGCTGTCATATAATCTTATTCTGTGCTTTTATCTCTAATTTTATTCTAACATTCTTTTGTCCTTCTTTGGTTGGTTGGTTGGTTTTTATTTGTTTTTTTACATCCCCCAACAGGGCTCAAACCACATTCCTATTTTTTAAAAACCTTTTTGTCTAGTTGGGTAAGTGAGGCAAATGCATAAGATACAGAATTCAAAATTGTATGTGGAAATTGAATGCTTCTACCTGATTAGTACCAAGTAAGGCTCTCATACAGAAACTGAGAGTAGAAAATGATCCCAGTGACCTGGGGATGCTGATACTATCAAGATCAGTGCTAGATAACAATATGTCAAACAATAACCATTGATAATTTCCTACCACTTTGTCCGTAATTTGGTAAGCCCCCCCCTTATTATGTGATCCTTCTTTTAGCTCTTTAAAATAAAAAAAATTTTAAAAAAAAATCAGTGTTGAAGGTTACATAGTAGTTATGGAGGAGAACTGATAAAAATTTTTTATATGTTACCTTTAGAAGTTGTTTAAATTTTGAGAAAATAGCATAAAGGAAAAGAAAATCAATTTGCAGAATACTAAAGAATAAGTAGGTAAATACAGTTTAATCCTAGGAAATAAAAGTGAACTTTCCTTGCTGCTAAAAGCTTAAAATTCAAGCACATACCTATGCATGCACATACATACATGAATGAATGATTTTTTTAATAGACACTCTTGTGAAGTTTCATGGTAGCAAGAAAGAATAAAAAATGATTGGACCATCTTTCTCATTATATTCATGCATTGTCTCATTGATACCTGCTTCTAAGACCCAGCCGAGGCTGATTTCTTCAGCCCCTTAGTTTGGTTACATGCCTCTGTCTTGTCACCAGTTTAGACTGGGAAGCTTCACTTGACATACAGGCAGCCTGAAGAAGAGACACAGAGCTGTGGAATGTCTGACATGTCTTTATTCAACTGTTCAGCTCAGCTCAGCTCGCTTGATCTGCTTAGCTGATGAGCCATAGTCCTTCTGTCCACCTGCTCTTGAGGGCCCCAGCTGGCCCTCATGGAAGTCCACATTTATAGCAAAACACAAAATAGTGGCTGAGTGCCGGTATTGACCTTGGTGTTATATAAGTTATTTACATGGAGACTGCGAGGTGCACCTGTGCTGGAGTTCTGCTGACTTGGACTTAATGTCTCCCAGAACCGTGCCCAGCCACCTCCCAGTCTGACACAAAGTGTGGCCATCTTGGGCTTCAGTTTTCCTTACAGCTTCTCTTACTTGTTTCTGTAGCATCCTTAGTGTCTGTCTGTCTGTGTCTCTCATGGAATTTTCGTAGTCTCTTAACTCCTTAATCAAGTGAGTTGTGCCTGGCCTTACCTAGATTTTGCCTACAGTGGTTATTTGAATGAACATTTTCAAGTCACTGTTTAGAGCCAGCTCTATTCTATTCTTTATAAATTTCTGTATCTTGAAAACTTAAGAATTTTGGCCTTTTTTACATTTTTTAGGATGCACAGACAATTAGGACCTTAACTCTCATCTCAAAAACCATTCAAACTTTGGGAAGCTGGGGCAGCCTGTCGAAAAGCAAAGTAAGTCTTTACATCTTTTTTTTCTCTCTTTTTACCTTTCATTTTATTTTTGCAGTACCTAATGATTATATTCATCACAGGGAGCTGATACATGTACTTTGCACATTTCTAAATGTTACTGTGTATTCTATAATTCTTTACTTATATCCTTCCTAATTAAAAATGAAACAGTAGCACTTGTGTCTGTTTTTGTCTAACTTGTGGACTAAGACTTATGCAGGTCCAAAAAGTAAAGCCTCTTTTGCAACCCAGAACTTACTATCCAGTATGAGTTTTGATACCAGGAGGAATACTGCTGTTAGGCACAGTGGTGGTGCAAGCCTTTGGTCCTGGGACTCCTGAGACTGAGGCACAGTGAGACTCTACCTCGGAAGACAAGGCAAAAACAAGATTATGACAACCTAGTAATACAGATTAAAGTGATGAGATGTGTTAATTTTTTTTAAAAGCCACTGGATTTGATCCCTAGTGCCCCCCATTCATCTATCTGTCTATGCAAAAGCTGTCCTTTAGGTAGTTACCTATTAAAGAGGTATCTTAGTTACCTTTTAAAGAAGACAGTTTTACTTATCCTTATTGACCTGAGAGTGGAAGGGAACCTAGTAAAAAGTATGCTGTAATCACCTAACAGCTTTCCAAGAAGTCTTTATACCCTGTATGAAATTCATACCCTGTAGCCCCTGGAAATACATAATTAAATCCTTTTAGCCTTTAATCCTCAGTTTTAAAATACTGTTCATTATTTTCTCAGTGCTCTACTTAGTGTATATAAATCCTGTGTTTGCTTTTCCTTAGTCAAGTTTCAAAGAGACATTCATGTGTGAATTTTTCAAAATGTTTCAAGAAGAAGGATACATTATAGCAGTTAAAAAGGTATGTTGTTTTTTTTTCGTGCAAGTGTTACTATGTCTTATCATACTGCATGGGGGAAATAACATTTCATATTCTAGGAATTAGTTTCCAGTTTAAAAAAGTATGGCCCTGCTATCCATCAAAAGGGTTCTCTTTTTTTTTTCCTTTCTTTTCTCACAAAAGCTAAGTTTTTCTGCCATAAAAATATCTTTAGGGCTGAGGATATAGCTCAGCAGCACAGCACCTGCCCGGCAAGCGTGAGGCCCTGAGTTCAATTCCCAGTACCCACAAAAAAAAAAAAAAAAATCTATAAACAAATCTTAGCAATAGCTACTTTTGCCAGTGCCTTAGTAACACAAATTACAAATTTCTGGAGTTAAGGTTTCTCAGTAGCAGCATTATCAATTTAAGGCCAGATAATTCTTGGTTGTGAGGGGCTAGCCTTTAGTTGTAGGATGTTTAAGCACCCCTGAATTACGTATGAGTGGTGTGTCCCCAGTTTTGACAGTCAGAAATGCCTCCAGACATTGCCAAATGCCTCCTGAAGGACAAAACTGCCTTTGAGAATCTTGGTCTGGGGTAAAGGCTTACAATGATACTTGTTATATAGTATAGGTACAAGTGCATTTAATGTAAATGTTACTAAAAAGAAATGTTACTAAAAGAAAAGTTACTAAAAAGAAAATGTACAGAAGGCCACAGTATTGAGCTGAGTGTAATGGTACATGCTTGTAATTGTAGCACTCGGGAGGCTGAGGCAGGAGTATTGTTGCAAGTTTGAGGCCAATCTGGGCAACATAGTGAGTTCAAGGCTAGCCTGAGCTACAGAGTGAGACCCTGTCTTAAAAACAAAACAAAACAAAAAACCAGAAGCCTACAGTTTGTAATATCCTAACATGAAACATATATAAAAATTACTGTACATTAAGTCATTTGTACAAAATATAGTATTATTGTGAATCTGGAAAGTTTCTGAAGAAAAGTTATTTTGAAGTACATTTAAACAAGATTTGAAGAAAATGCTATATCTTATATAACAATCCTAACTCTGTAAATCCAAAATAGCAAGGCCAAATTTTAAAGACTACATTCAGTTTCTGCAGCATGATTAGCAGTTGATGACCAAAAGTATATTTTGTTTAAGTATTCACTTGGACTTTTAAAAAATATACTTTTAAGATCCTCAAAAGGATTTCATAAATGAAAATGATGATTGAAAAAAGTAAAGTCATTGGATTTTTTTTTTCACGTAGAATAGTGTAAATTCAACCAGAAAAAATTTTTAAACAATCATCGAAGTCTTCTTGAGAAAGTTGTTCAAGAGAATAAGCAAAGAAAAAAATCTACCCTTTGTTCTTAGGACAGTATTGAAACATTTATAGGACAGTGTAGGCAGAGGGTTTTTTTGGTATTGGAAATTGAACTCAGAGCCTCTGTCTTGCCAGGCAGGCACTGTACTCACTGAGCTACATCCCTGGCCCTGTGTGCAGACTCTCTTTGGCAAGGTTATCCTGTCTTGTTCTGGGGATATTTTTCCGTGGTTTGCAATCTAGTCCATGATAGCACCTGATTATTTTCCCTTGGATAATCAGAATGTGGAGTTAATAATATCAGAGCAGAGCGGATTTAAGGGTGCCAGGAGTTCAGTCTGTAACTGATCTTCCCTAAATCATCCACTCACATGCTGATGGACTCACACCATAGTGTGCTTCTGTCTTAGATTTGATTCTAGACTCCTAATCTGGCATAGGATATTCCCCCTAATATCTCAGTTTTCTTGATTGTTTGTTTACTCTTTAAGTCTGGACATATGCATTGCTAGAAATTGCAAACACCTATGAACCCCAGGTTCTCATTTTATATTGACACCCTCACTGGTGACATTGACTTATCAAAAAGAGAAGAGATTATACTCTAAATACACAGTAAAACCTTAGTTTGTGAACATAATTTGTTCCAAAGACATGCTTATAATCCAAAGGACTTGTATATCAAAGCAAATTTCCCCACAAGAAATAATGGAAACTCAATGATTCTTTCCTCAACCCAAAAATATTCATATAAAATGATTATAATACTATAGTACAATACAGAGTCATAGAGAAAATACAAAACATAAAGAAAAAAAAACCAACTTGCACTTCGGCAAACCTTCGTGGCTAGTGTGAGGGAGGAGGGTTATGGTATAAGATGACTTTCACAAGGAAGTCACTGCCCTGTCCTTTGACAGTTGCTTTTGCCTCCTTTTGAGGATTTGGTGGAATTGTGACATTGTCATTTAACAGATTCATCACTTGCACTGCTGCAGCCTCCTTATTCAGGTGGTGCTTTTCTACAGACTGTTGCACTGTTTCCCATATTTCACACGTCTCCCTAATCCTATTTGAAGTGAGGGATTCTTCTGCCCTTTCCTTGTCCTCCTCTATAGATGAGATCTCTTTGCAACCTCTTGTTGTTGGGACAGGGTCGCTCACAGTCCTGCAGTGAGAGGGACGGGGGACCACTCGGTCACTTGTGGTCATGTAGCATTCGGCATCACGTACTACTGCTATTGCGAGACATCATTCATCAAGTGAAAAATAATTAGAAATGTTCGCTCGTCTTACAGAACACTCGAACAAGTTGCTTGCAATCCAAGGTTTACTGTACTAATCCCCACAGAACTTAGGAAAGTAATCTGGAGAGCTCTTTATATAGGGTGACCATATAATTTGGTGTCTATACCAGGATACTTTTAAGAATGAAAGTATTGTTAATGACAATAAAGTCATTTGAGTAATGTATTATTCCAGGACGATAAGTATTGGCCTGATAGGTAAAGTCCTGAGCAAACGGGTTACCTATGGTCACCCTCCTAACTTGTTAAATAAATCATTTACTTCAAGTAAACACTAAGAAATAAAACATGTAAATAACTGTTATACTCTATCAGTTGATAGCCCATCTCTGAGAACTGAAAATGTGATGGGGTATTTCTTTAGTTCCCTTAGATACTTGCACCTGCATTTTCACATAGGATACAAAAAGAGCTCTGTTGCCGGTTTTTCATTTACTAAGCTCCCCATAAATCATACATGTTAATGTTTCTGTAAGCTCAGTATACAAATACTCACAGGAAATACAAGCCGTAAGTAGCTTCATGCCAGTTTCACTTAATTTACACCCTCCAATGAAGTTACCATAAATCAAAGACAGAAAAAGCATTCTACATTCAGAACTCTATAGGTCAGGATTACAGTTAAGGATTGCAGGCTAAATTATTTCTGTGGGAAATGTACTTGGGGATTTAGGTACAGTAATTTACTAATGAATTTCTTAGAATACTTGGCACTTGACTTCTTATATGATTTTGTTTTTCTAAATTACTACAGCATGAACATCTCTAATCCAAAATGCTCAAAAATATTAAATGCTCCAGTATCTTAAACTTTTTGAATGCTGACATGATGCCACAAGTGGAAGATTCCACAGGTGACCTTGTATGATAGGTCACAGTCGAAAGTGCAGGGGTGCCAAAAGTATTGTATAAGGTTACCTTCAGGCTGTATTATAGCATTGTGTATCTTTATATGAAACCGAAACAGATGTCATGTTTATACTTGATCCCCCCCACCAAGGTAATCTCACTGTGTATAAGCAAATATTCCAGAATCCCCCTAAAAAATCTAAAATCAAAAACACTCTTGTCCTATGCATTTTGGATAAAGGATACTCAACCTCTGATATGTATGCTCTTTCTTTCTTTCTTTCTTTTTTTTTTTTTTTGCATTCTCTTTATTAAGGAAAAACTTCCAATATAATCAGTGATATGTAAGATAAACTTGAGTTTTTTATGATGTACCTTATTATAATATTTGCTTACTTTCCTGTTCAGTTCTTGGATGAGATTTCATCTACTGAAACTAAAGAGTCCAGTGGAACAAGTGAACCTGTGCACCTGAAAGAAGGGTAATTTAATGAAATTAGACATGAAAATCATGTTTTAGTATAGACATTAATTAGGTACAAATGCATGGATCTGAGAGTAGGGAAATCTTAAGTTTTTATTCTGTGCTAAAACGGCCTAAGTCACATCAGTCAAGTAAGTCACCTCACAAGTATCACCTTACAAAGTGTCAGATGGGCATAATTCCCTGTTCATACAATCTCAGTGTAGCAGTTGTGGTAAAATAAGTATTAGGATACTTTGAAAAAATTAACAGCACTATTCAGTTTTAGAGTGGTTATTATTGGAAATGAAAGGGGAAATCACTTATATGGCTCTTTTTTATTCTACGTAACACAGTTTAAAATATGAATTGAAGACTTCATTCCCTTGGTCTAGCCAAAATGAGTACAAGAGTCACTGTCTTGGTTACTTTTTTCTCATTGTTGAGACAAAAACCTGACACCCAGAGTGAAGGAAGGGAAGGTTTATTCAGCTCACAGTTTGTGGAGGTTTCAGGCCATACTTGGCTGGCTCCATGGCAGAGGGCAACAGTTCATGGCAGCAGAAAACAGCAAAAGAAACAAGAGCAAAAAAGACAGAGTAGCACCAAGCAAGCCTTTCCCTCCCTTATGTTGTATGCAGGGTACCCACCTCAGGGCAGGTATAGCGCTTAGACCCATAATCCCAGCACTGGACCATGAGTCAATCAGAAACTCTAGAGGCCTGCCCCATGACTACATGAGGCTTTGGGGGACATCCAGACACAAATCATAACAGTCACAGATGGCAAAAACATTTTCATAAATTGAATATAGTTCTACATTATTATGTGTGTCATTTAAAATTAAAAGACAGTCCTTCATTTTGAATGAACTTTTCTTAATCTTTGTAGCTAAATGTTTACCTTCATTGTCTTGGCAGTGAGATGTTTAAAAGAGCTCAAGGAAGAACTCGAATTGGAAAAAAGAATTTCAAGAAACGGTGGTTCTGCTTAACAAGCAGAGAGCTCACCTACCACAAACAGCCAGGTAGTTGTGCTTATGCTTTACAGAGGGTTTTTTTCCTGGGTTCTCAATGATAATTTCTGGTTTTTTTCTTAATGTGACTCTAGTGAATCCTTTCACAGTATTAATAGTTTATAGTTTTTCACCGTGAAATATACATATTAAGAATGAAGTTGATACCATGTAAATTAGCTTTTCCTCGCACATTGAATTTCTTGTACTTCTAAAAATGACATTAATTCAGGATGTTCTGCTTCCTTAATATCTCTGATAAATCCCTGGTTTTATAGTCAGTATGTAATGAGCAACTCCCAAGCCCCTTCAGAGTTGGAAGTTCTTTAATTCTCAGAGCCAATTTAGTAAGAGTCAGTATCAGTAAATGAGAATATTTTTGTGCTCCATTAGACAGTTCCAGGTAAAATTTACCACAGTCGTACCATAGATTGTGGTCACTGTACAATTGTCAGATTCATTTTAGGCTATTAGCCAAGCGAATCGCAAGATGAAAGATTTGATAATTTGTCTTTGGAAAAGACATGTCTCAAATGGGCTACCTGAGTAAGATAGTCAGGTGTCTGATTTGAGAGCTGGAGCAAGGCAAAGTGTGCCCTTCTGTAGACTAAAATTGTACATAGAATCTTTTTTAGAGTTTATTCCTTTGGGATAAAACATTATCTGTAGAAGGCCCTTAGCTTCTTATTTTTAGCAGGTAGAATTTAATATCAGAGATAGTAGCATCCCATTTATCCACATGATCAGGATCCAGAGATGTTCATTTAAACAAAATGTGAATTAAAGCAAAAATTAAAATATAAACAAAAGATACATATAAACCCCCAATCCTTGTATATTTGAGGTTTTTGTTTTGTTTGTGGTGGTGGTGATCAATCCCAGACCCTGGAGGTTATTTGCCAGTCTTGTAATAGAAAACCATGATCTTTTCTTGGAATTTAGAGAAATACAGATTGGGTTTTGTCTTTGTCTTTTTTTCTATAGTATACTCTTTTTTTTTTTTTTTTTCCGGTACTGGGAATCTAACTCACGACCTTACGTTTGCAAGGCAGGCGCTGTGCCGCTGAGCTAAATCCCCAGCCCCTTAGGTAGTATACTCTTAATGCACCAGTTTTCAAGGTGATTTCTCCAAAGTAAATCTAGGACTTTAGATACTCAAAGAGTAATCCAAGTACAGACTCTTTTTAGATTTTTAGAGTAGCCACTCTGATCTTTTATTGTTGCCTTATGCCTACATAAGTCAACTTTGTATGGGTGTGGGTCTTCTTTTTTTTAATGCAAAACAATTTCATAATCAAATAACAAGAAAATAACCATAGTTATTACACTGTGTATCATTTTCTTCATGGTAGTTACTTAGAGCACAAGACATAAACCAAAAAAGATTCTCACAAAAAGAAACAGTAACACAAATCTTTCTTTTCAGTGAGCTAAGATAAACTAGTAGTATAAATGAAACCAATTAGCATATATATTGAAATATTTTTAAAACAATGGAATTTGCAATTTGGGAAGTATTTTATCTTTTCCCTGCTTCCTATTTATCTCTCTTCTGTTTTGCTCTTTATTTGTATATATGTATACCTATATGTATATATCTGTTTATGTGTTTCTCATATAAGAGAAACCATGTAGTAGTTGAACTTGTGTGTCAGATTTTTCAAAGCTGTTGCCTGATCTTTAAATAAATAATGAACTTCTTCACAGAGGGCATTTATTTTAGCCCTGTACATAATACTTAGGTAAATTATAATTACATCATGGAGAACTGGCATAAATAGTTTTGGGAGCAAACTGTGGACTTCATAAGTGAAAACAGCCTAGCCAGAGAGGTGCTGGCATACCTGAGCCTAGTCTAGCAGCCACAGATACTCAGCACCCCATACGCATCAAGAAATGGGCAGTGTTAGCCCACTAAATCTCAGGCAAAAACCTGTTAAGACAGCTTCCACTCTAAATTCTGAAGTGATAAAATAAGCATCAGACTTAAGGTCCTTTCAAGACAGTAGTTAAGTGCCGTTCTCAAATTGTAGAATGATAAGAAAGAAATTTTTTTTATTTATTTATTTTTAGGAAAGGAGGTTCTCACTATGTTGCTCAGGCTGGCCCCCATACCTGGGCCCCAGGGATCCTCCTGCCTCAGCTTTCCATGTAGCAGCGTCTACAGTCATGCACTGCTGCACTGGCTAAGAAAAATGTTCGGTTTCATAATTCTTCAGGAATGGCCTAGCCATAATATCTGCATATGTCCAATAAGAAACAGAACATAATGTAGTTTTAAGCACACCGATGATTTGTTATAGCTTTTAATAGTCAAGTAAGTAAAGCTCAGCAGGCTGTATACTTTCCCTTCCAGACATTTTTAAGTTCAGCATATTTGAGCATATTAGAAGTTATAGTTTATATTCTACATAAGTGTTCTCAGCTATGGATAGCATAGGTACTTATTATGTGTACATTTCAATAACATTTTAGAGAAAATAGTTCTGTATGAATAAAAGTTATTTTTTCAAATTGAAAACATTTTCTACTGTAAAACTATTCTAAAGGTTTTTTTGGTTTATAATCCCCTTTAGGAATTCAGTGATACCTGTGGGCCCTTTCTTCTAGAAAACTACATGCACAAACATAAACGCAGTTTTCCGTATAGTTTCAGGGAGTTCATAGTCCATAAGTCCATGGACCCTAAATCCATCCAGTTCTTAAGTTTAAACCTCTGTGTAGTGATTTTGAGAGGATAAAATTATATAGAATTAGGCTGCATAAGTATGAAATAGACACATTAAAGCTATACTGTTTTCATGTCAAAGGAATTAGACCTATGAGATTTTGAGGTTGAGGGAGTTGTTTTGGTTTGTTTTTTCAAAGCCTGTAGTTGTAAGCATCCATGTCTTCTGTTTTAACTATTTTGATGGATTTTTCCAAAATATGTTACATGCTTTCCTGTCTTCTAAAAAAGAATTCATTGAACGTAAGTTAACATTTTTCTAGTTGATTTGAGGCTGTCATTGATAATACATAGTTCTGTGACTTAGAGATGCTTTCAGCATTGCTGAAGCGGGTATGCAGCTGTTTATTCTCGCTCAGTGCCTTTACTCCCCAGCTACGTGCCTTGGACTGCTGTGCTTGTTGTGTTCCCGCTTTCTGTAGTTTCTCTCTACTCTTCATGGTCAGGCTGTCACCTTAATTTCTTGTGCTGTCAACAAACCATTATATAGCATCTTACTCCTGCCCCCATATCAACCTCTATATCTTTGTACTGCTTATGTACAGTAATGAGGGAGCAGATACTGCCTGTTAGAATTATGCATAAGATTAAAAGACTGAGTGATGCTATCAGGACTTTCCCTGTGAATACAGTGCGTAGGCTTTGTCTTCCTGGATGTTGAGGTGTTTTCCTTCCTGTTTCCTTGCTGTTTTCTGATAGCCAGGACCGCCTGTTAAGTATGTTTGCTAAGTGACGGTGGTGGTGTCTAAAAGAATGCCTCCCATATTTCCTGTAACATAACGCTAAGCCACTGAGCCTTTCATTCAGTCCTCCTGCTGCACAGTAGTATTCTAAACCTAGTATTTCAGCCTCTTAGGATCAGTAACATGGTCTCTTCTCAGTTTGCTGGGAAAGGAATTAATAGAATTTTTTTTCAACTTTAAGGATTTTTCTTGAAATTGTTCAATTTTTAAATGTATACTTGGGTAGCTGTTGTCAAGCAGTGTTGAGCAGCTGATCTTCAGTACAGGTAACTTTATGTCTGGCAAATGAGTGTCGCTCAGGCAACTATCAGGCTGATTACCCTGGATACCTTTTATAGGTCTGCACGATGATTATGATTTTATATTTCCTGTAACGCAGTCGTCTTCGACACAGAAACGTCCTCCTAGGTGTATGCTGGCCTAACTGAGTTGTTAATGTGCCAGCCTCTTCGTGTCTCCTTCAGCCTCAGCTTGTCCATTGTTACCTTACCGAACGAGCTCTTGTAGTTCCTTTAACTTGTGCTTTTTTATGTTCATGTTTCCTTATATGCTCTATCCAGACATCTCTTTCCTTCTTCATTTGTGTGATCTGGTGTCCTTTAAGCCTTAGATGAAGTGTCAGCTCCTTGCAAAAGTCATTTTAAGCCTCCAACTACCTCCATTTAGCTATTTCCGTAACGTATTTTTTAAGCCACCTTAGCAGTAACATCTGGCACACAGTATGGCCATTACTTTCATCTATTACATCCTCTCACGTGGAAGATCCTCAGTCATAAGAACCATATCACTACTGGTGTCATAAAGCTACAGAGCTTAGTAAATACTCTTCAAAGAACACCAGGTCTTCCAGCCTTTTCGTTGCTGCCTTTCATGCAGGGTGTGTCTTCCCCAGTAAGTCCATCATCTGTACCCAGAACTATGCTAAACCAGTCAGTGGACTGATCTAGTATCACATGCATGATCCAGTCACCTCCCCAAAGCCCCACCTGGGAGCACAAGAGCCTTTGGGGAAACATGTAGATAGAGCCGTAACAACTTGGTTCTCACCTACCTGTACATTCACACACGGGGCTCTGCTGGGCATTTTTCTGTGACATCTGAAGAACAAAGTACATCGCTGACATACATTTTCAGTTCAGTGTATATTTTGTTAAGGACCTACCCTGCACCACACACTGTTCTAGGTGCAAGAGAAAACAGTAGTGAACAAAATTTAGGCCTTAGTGGAGCTTACAGTTTAGTAGTGATAGACAGTAAGCCAAAGGAAAGAAGGGAGAGAAGAGGAAGGAAGGAAAGAATTACAGTAATCCACAGGAGAGAAAATAATGACTTGGACCAGTTGGTGCAGTGGAAGTTGTAAAAATGAGTCACATTCTGGGTCTGTTTTAAAGATAGTGCTCAGAAAATTTGCTAGAGGATTAGATACTAAGAATAAGAGAGACAAATCAAGAATAGCTGTATAAGGATTGGCCATGAGCAACTGGAGAGATAAAGTTGCTATTTAAAAAATAGATACATGAATTCTGAGAGTTTGTACTAGA